ATGCTCAATACTAGCCACATCACACTGGCATTGGTTAAAGTACTCCTAGAGAATTATTAACCTACTAGTTAGTTAAAACTAGTTAGAGGTAAATCAGATAATACAGAAATTAATGAAACCTCATACAATATAAAAAAATCAGCAGAACTAAAAAGGAATGGCTATTATATGGTTTAAAAGCTTTCAAATATTTCACTACCTTTAATTGTCTCCTAAATTTTGATCAGTATTATTGTGACCTTTATTACTATAGTTTTTCAAATTGATTTTTACTTTGATAAAACTGGATTATTTCATCTACTCTTGCTTTTTCATGTTTATTTAACTTCTTTTTTTTCTCTTTAAACTTTTTAAATGCACAGCTTTTGCTGAGACTGCATATTTACTGCAAACAGCCTTCAAACCTTTCAGTGTATTGTGACCTGCAGGGATGCATAGGGGAGTAGGGGGTAGCAGGAGCATTTCAGGCTGTGCTTATCAATGCTGTTGTACATGAATTCTGCTGCTTTAAAGGAAACAACATCAGCGTCTGCTGATTCCCAAATGTTCAAAAACTTGTCCTGCCTACTTTCGTTTCAAAGGTAACATGAAACAGATTTTCCATTATACAACTGAAGTGAAAAAAAATCCCTGAGCACACCTCAGCTTTGAAGTCTAGTGTAAGATTTTATTGGAGATCAGTGCACGACAGATCTCTCCAGGGGTTTGACCTACGGAATGGGACGCTTTCCAAGTTTTGACTATGTGATGTTGGATCAGCTGTGTATCATTTAAAATGTACTTGTGGATAGTGTTTTGGTACTATGAGGATGTAAACAGAGAAAATGTGCTCAGTTATATGTTTAAGAACTCTCTGAAAAGTGAAAGCTTCAGTAATAAAACAACAATAAAAATGTGAAAACATAAGGACTATAAATATTTTGCATGCAATAGGTTGCAGTGCTCCTGTACAGGTTTTAATGATAAAACCTACTATATTATATTTTTATTATTATGTAAAAAAACTTATAAGACCTGAGCTAGTATACAAATAGTATACAAATACAATAAAAAAAAATCTGAAATGTCAGTAACACGTTTTAGACTGTAACAAACTACAACTACAGTACATTTCACATTGTAATACATGCTTTCTAGAATACTTTTCCACCCAAAAGTAGTGTAAAGTTTGTTTGGTGTGACATGATCTCACTACTTTAATCTTTGTAGCTACATTGGCAGTCCTGTATACCTCATTCTTTTTAATTTAAGAGTTTTGAAGCTCTGTGCACCATTTGTTTGCTCTATTGGCGTTCTTTTTTTTTTCTTTTTAATTTTCCTCCCTGTAAAATCAGAACACACTTTGAGGTAGTAAACATTTGGCTGCTTTCATCTTTTTTGAAGGGCTCTTAAAATACAGTACTTCCCCTGAGTTTTACCTTCAAGCTGTTTGGTACAAGATCACTATTTATCCATAAAAAATAGCATTCTTAGGCAGTTTCTTCAAGACACATGACAACAGTGAGTCTTCTAATCACTCTGAGTCTGGTGTATAAATTGTGACTTTTGTTAAACCAAACATCGGTCTTCAAAACTTCAAATTCATTATCTAGTGAGAAGAGAAAACAACAAAAGCATCTATCATATTTTTCACCCATTTATTAACATAATTTTTTTTAAATGTGGACATTCTTTGTGACACAGTGTACAAAAACTAGTTTTCAAAGAAGATTAAAGACATTCACATATACAGTACATGTAACTTGGTCATTTTTTGGTCCAATGATAACCCTTTTTAATAGTTTGAACACCGATTTTAACATGCATGTTTCAGTGAAAAGGTTTAAGTGAAACTAATTTGAGAAACATGATCGTTATTTAAAGCTGGGCTTTATCCTGTAAGTGAAGCCATCAAATGGCATACTACTGTATATACAGTATAAAGTGCTTTAGCGCTAGGAGAGCACAATAAATGACAATAAGTTCATTTGAACTGGTAAAAATAAAACTTCAACACCTCTGTGATTTGTGTATTTCCTTTATGAAATGTTACTAAAACACCATTGTCAGCAAGATTTATAAGTCATCCAGTTAGGAAAGAGCATGTTGAGAAAATATAAACCTAAAATACACCTCAATAGAGTGGTTCAGATAAAAAGCCACTGAAACATTCAAAATATCAGTGAATGTGACTATCAAACCAACAAAAATTATAATGAACAGGTCTGAGTGGGAAGGTGCGTAAGTATGTTAATTGCAAAGGAATAACTACTGTAGAGATCTTACAGAAGGAAGAAAAAAATGTTTTAAATATGGAGTCTTTTGCAGTATTATTATGTGTTATGAAATGTTATTAATAAATACCAGTAAAAGGTTCCACATCTGAAACAAGGTGCTTTTTTTCTTTCCTTTCACCTTTTAATATAGAATTAATCTATATTCTATATCTATATCTATATCTGTATCTGTATCTGTACAGTACCTTTGAATAGGAACTTTGTGTTTATTTATGACTATGCTCTTTTTCTTTTCATCGTATTATGTTCTTTGTTACATACTGTACAGTAGCAATGTGCAATCAGTGTAAGAAGCCCTTATTTGACTGTACATGTTTCCCTCTGTAAATTCTTAAGAATAATAATCTTAAGCAAGGGTCAGTTTCCCTGTTATTCTCATCAACAGCTAACTTAACTTAAGGGGAACTGCAATGCATTTTTTTTAATTTTGGGGTTAGAAAAAATCAGAATTTATTAGTGCATTTCAAACCACAATGACATTAAAATGTGCACAGTAACATGTAAAACCTCCAATTTACATCTCAAAATAGACTGAAATTTCCAGGTATGTGCATCGCCATATTGCCGTCATTTTCTGCGATTCAGAATGGGGCAACAAAACGTCTGGTGACTGGAAGCAGCCCTATTATATTCTATGCAATCAGGCTTGTGAATACTGTACATCTCTTTTAATCCAATAGAAATATTGCTTTTGACTTCACTAAAAGTATTATTTTAATAATCACGTTGGATCACGTTGGAACATTTCTGCTGCACGGCCAGCACTTTTTTGCTCGTACATCACATTACATTAGTGAAGACGGCTTTGTCGACAAATACTACTTACTTGTTAAGATAAGATAAGATCACTTTATTGGCCATATACAATTTCTTGTAATTGGAATTTGTCTTTTTCGCATACCCCAACTTGCTCTCCATGAGACACACAGACAGGGAGAGAAACTTGGGGTCAGAGCGCAGGCACCCCTGGAGCAGCTGGGGTTAAGGGCCTTGCCAGGAGTAGGATTCCTCTGCCGGCCGCGGGATACGAACCAGCAACCTTCCAGCCACAGGCCTAGATCCTTAGCCACAGAGCCACCACACCGCCTCTATATGCCGATCACGTTGGAACATTTCTGCGTGAAATGTTTGCTGCACGGCCAGCACTTTTTTGCTCGTACATCACATTACATTAGTCATAACAGTTAGTAGTGAGCAGGGAGGGCCGCCTCGTCACAATTCTTGCAAACTCTTGCTTTCACACATGGCGAGAACAGTGGTTTGTGATAAAATGGCAAAACCAGACCATAGAGGTCAATTTATTTTGTAAATGTGATTGAATAACTGATTAGAGAAATTGGGGCTGCAGTTCCCCTTTAAAAAATAAAATAATATGATAATTAAGCATGAAGTAGTAAAATATAATTAATAATAAGGTGGAATGACATTAACCTTGAATCCTGAGACTTAAAATGCCATAATAATGGAATATACTTATAAAAAGAAAAGGGCAGTGAAATCAAATGTGAAAACTTTTTGAACACATGAGCTGGGCTGAGAAATGTTTTTCCACAAGGGAGATGCGTAGGGGAGGCGAAACTCAAGTTGGTTGAGAACCTGAAAGCTTTTTATTAATTTTTTTTTGCTGGCAGACTCACATATGAGTTCTTCTTGTGATTGAGAAAACTACTACTCAATATTGAGTGTATGAGTGAATTTTGCGTTTGGTGAGAGAAACCTGTCCATATTTTGTTCATCAACATTATTACTGGAAGTTAAAGTTAGTGTCTTTGCTTTGTCCAGATCTTGGATGAGTTTGTGTAGTCTCTAGGGTGTTTGATATGATTTTGTTTACAGTACACTTTAAGCAATCATTATGCCAGAAATCAAGTATAGCCTCTGAATGCACACCAAATTAAAAATTTAAAGTGGTTTGTCTTTTAAAAAATGTTAAGAATATGAAGCAAATATTCTATCTTAAGCAAACAAAATAGCTTAATTGACACAATAAATACTATGCTACTTGACTCTTGCCCTGTGTTCTTTCTTTCAAACAGCTTCAGTGAATATTTGCTTAGTTACATGCTTTTTTTAATACAGTAAAATTCTGAAAGACTTTTTATATTATATAATGGTTAACTATGCAAATTTTACTTTTGTGTCAGAAAGCATTGTAGAGAATACGTAAGTTTGCAGTTATTGTCACTTTATACAGCCTTTATTCCATCCATCTATTTTCTAACTGCTTCTTCTAAGTTCAGGGTTATAGGGAAGCCGGAGCTTATCACAGCATGCAGTGTGCGCAAGGCAGGGTACACCCTGGACAGGATGCCAGTCCATCACAGGATGCACAGACACACACACCTAGGGTTAGTTTTCCCAGACGCCAGTTAACCCACCAGTATATTTTTAGAGTTTGGGAGGAAAATGGAGCAACTAGAGAAAACTCATGAGAACATGGGGAGAACAAGACTCCACGCAGATAGCATCCCAAGCCCAGAATTGAACCCAGTGCCTTAGCACTGCAAGGCAGCAGTGCTAACCACTGAGCCACCATGCCATCCAAAGACTTTATTATTTCTTAGAAAAAAACATTAAAATCAATATAGTAAATAACTAGGACTTCCAAGCATTAGAGCAGTTCTAATCACTCACCATGTGGACCATATGAATAATAATTATGATGAAAGTGCCTTTTATTCGTTACTATAATAACTGGAATACTGTATGTTTTTTTGTGTGCAGGGGGTATAGTTGACAAAGACCTTCGCCACTACCTCAATTTACGGTTCCAGAAGGGCTCCGTGGATCACGAGCTTCAGCAAATCATTCGAGATAACCTCTACCTCCGGACAGTGCCGTGTAAGTCGAGTCTGAAATCTAATAGTCTTTGAATTGTGTTACCTTTAAAATATGGTTTCATCATGAGTCAGTTTTTGGGCTTGTTACAAGTATTTCATTGTATGCTTTCATTTGGCATGTAAACATTTTGCCTTTCTTTTATTTTATATACCAATTTCCAGTTTTATCTGTAAAAAGTATGTTGTCCCTACCAATAGTTTATTTTCATACAATAGGTTTATTCCATGCTGAAAAGAGAAGAAAGAAAACCACATTTTGGCTGTGGAGCCTTCTTCGAGTATAAGCAACACAGGCTCCACAGCCGAAACGTTGTGTTTAATGTTAAATGTAGCTCACTAGAATCTGCTGGTTTCACCTAAATCTTATGAGAAGAGCAGACAGCTGCATTAAAAGGAACTGAAAGGTCTTGCATAAAGGGCAGTATTTAAGCTCCCCATTGAGAAACATTGGACAAATAACTGCTGGATCCTACCTCTAGGTTTACTGATAAAATCCCTCAATTTTATGTAAAGGTCATTTGGATAAAATAAACTGGAACTAAAATTGTCTCTGTAAGTAATAAAGATTTATTGATGTAGTAGGTATTTTTAGTAAGCCTGTTCAAATTCTGATCTTGCACAGAGGCATATGATTACATTTTGAATCTTGAGGAACAGCATACTGATTCCACAGCACAGTAGAGGCATCAAACCCCGATGGCTTTTCAAGCATCTAAACTGAATGTAATTTGTTTCTAAAAATAAACTGCATCATCTGTTTTTACTATAACATTTTATAGTTTAAAATATGGGTAATTTAAATTTCACAATGTGTTTGTCTGTTGCCAAATTCTGGTTATACATACAGTACATTCTGAATACATGTTTTCAATCTGTGATGCTCATAGTGAAGCTTTCATTACAGGATACCAAATCCTATGTACCTGTATCTCATGCCTCTCAATGTTTAGTTTTACATCGTTAATAAATTATTTCCTATTTGATATGCACAGCCATGGCTTGGCAAAACAGTGATGTCAGAACCCCATTTAAAATATGGGTGCTACCCTCACCAATTTCCCATTAAACCCATTTAGCAGTACTGTCTTATATAGACATTATGTTCAAAATAGTTCAAATCCTTAGAGCAGAAATGCATTTCTCATCTACATGATACTGTATGTAAGCACATTGATTCTTTGCACAAGGCAAACAAAAGTGAAGGGACTGCAAAGTGTTTGAGGTTTCTGTCTGTGGTCCAGAATACACATGGTCTTTTGAAACTCATTAACTCAGAGCTGTTTCTGAGTTGACACCGTGCAGCCATAAAAGATAAACTATTTTTGGAAAACTAGCATCATTGAAGTCATCAGTTAAAACATGCGAAAATAAGAAAGATTACAGTACCAATGAGAGGAGGCCATTTGGTGCATCTAGCCCATTTATTAGTAGCTACAGTGGTGCTAGAAAGTTTGTGAACCCTTTAGAATTTTTTGAATTTCTTCATAAATGTGACCTCAAATGTGATCAGATCTTCATCTAAGCCATAAAAATAGATAAAGAGTACCCAATAAAACAAATAAAACACAAAATGATACACTTTTTCTACATGTATTGATCAAAATGATCCAACATTAAATGTCTTTGTCGAAAAAAGTATGTAAACCAAACGTTTATGGTCACTGTTGATCTATCCCGCACTTCGGCTTAGAGGAATTTTGGCCCATTCCTCCTTACAGAACTGCTTCAACTCAGTGATGTTGGTGGCCTCCCATAACTCCCCGCTTCAGGTCCTGCCACAGCATTTCTATTGGATTATGGTCTGGACTTTGATTCGGCCATTCCACAACGTGACATTTCTTCTGCTTCAACCATTCTTTGGTAGATTGACTTGTGTGTTTAGGGTCTTTGTCTTGCTGCAAGGCCCACCTTCTGTTGAGCTTCAGTTCACGGACAGATACCCTGACATTCTCCTGTAGAATTTGCTGATACAACTATAATATAAACTATAATACTGCCACCACTGTATTTCACGGTTTTAATGTAGTTCTTATTCTGTTGGAATGCAGTGTTTGGTTTTCGCCAAACATAACGTTTCTCAGTTAAGCCAAAAAGTTCTATTTTCGACTCATCCGTCCACAGAACATTCTTCCAGTAGTCTTCTGGCTCACCCAGGTGGTCTTTAACAAACTTTAAATGGGCAGCAGTGTTCTTCTTGGAGAGTAGTGGCTTCCTCCTCGCTATCCTCCAATGCAAACTATTCTTGTTCAGTGTTTGCCTGATGGTGGACTCATGAACACTGACATTAGCCAGTGCAAGAGAGGCCTGCAGATCCTTAGACATTACCCTGGGGTTTTTTGTGATCTCCCGGAATATTATACGCCTTGCTCTTGGAGTGATTTTGTTGGACAACCACTCCTGGGGAGAGTAACAATGGTGTTGAATTTTCTCCAGTTGTGCACTATCTGCCTGACAGTGGATTGGTGAAGCCCAAAGTCTTTAGAAATTGTTTTCCAGCCTGATGAGCTTCGACAACTCTTTCTCTGAGGTCCTCAGAAATCTCCTTTGATCGAGGCATGGCATGCGTTCACAAACCTGTGTGGTGAAGACCAGACTTTGGTAGTGAAGACTCAGGTTTATGTTTTTTAAATAGGGCAGGGCCACCCACACCTGATTGTCATCCCATTGATTGACACTCCTGACTCTAATTATCCCCTCAACTGATCTGATAATCCTAGAGGTTCACATTCTTTTTCCAACAAAGACATTTGATGTTGGATCATTTTGATCAATAAATGAATGAAAAAGTATATCCTTATGTGTGTCATTTGTTTTATTGGGTTCTCTTTATATTTATGACTTAGATGAAGATCTGATCACATTTTCAGTCACATTTATGCAGAAATTCAGAAAATTTCTGCCACAAATTTTCTAGCACCACTGTAATTGATCTAAGTATCTCATCCAGGATACTCCATACTCCTGCTACCCTTTGTGTAAAGAAGTGCCTCCATTTTCCTCATGATGAATGTGAAAAACAGAGAATGATGGGATTAAATATTATGACATTTATGCTTTTTGGTAAAGCTCATACAAACATGTTGATTAGAAATAATATATATATATATTTGTAAATATACATTTACATTTAAAATTTACAAAAAAATAATTTGACCACTATCAATTTCTTCTACAGTTTGTCTTTTGACAAACTAAACTGAAATAACTTTTCAGAGACACGTTACAAAGGGAAGCACAATTTCAGGCTAATGACCCAAAGAACCTTTTTTACATTTTAGCAAATCCCAGCTGATGTAAGTGTAGCTAAAGTACTGTAGGAACGTTACAATAAGTGCAGTATCCTTATATACTTGGCCTCAAGAGGCTGAAGATATGTAAAATCATTGACACACTCAGACACAAGCATAATTTGCAATCAAATACATTTGTATTTAGGGAATGGATAATGGTATGTTAAGAGCATGGGACCAAAACCAGTTGTTTAGAACTAGAATTAAGCAAAGATACTTTATTGGGATAAAGATAAAGAGGAGATGGTGAAACTTTTTTTCTGAAGAGTACAGGTGTCCTGATGTTTTTTTTATTTTCAGATAGCCACTCATGGAAACTTAATAGTATAATCAAACGTACTGAACTCTAAAACTACTGTTTTAGAAATGAAACTAATCATAGAACTTTCCCAAAAAAAACAGTTTAATAGAGAGATCCTGAAAAAAAAAGTAAAACTAGTAATCAAATGTCAATAAGCAATGTTCATCAGTGTGCTAATTGGGGATGTATTCCTGCTCTGATGTTCGTATCAGTTTCATACTGTGCCTAGAAGTTAAACCACAAAGTTAAGACCACAGTTCATTCTTTTAAATTACTGTACACTATGTCTAAATCAACTGTGTTTTCCTAGTACTGTTATAATGTCTTAAAAGACATTCTTCTTTGCTGGGGTTTTCATATTTGCACTATTAGGTTTATTTGCAGATTAGTTTTTCCCTTATTTGTACTGGTATAGTGAAAATTGCAGCAGAACTGAGTCATGACTCCTTCTTTCCCTCTGGTCAAGAAGGAGATTTGGAGTTTTAGGCTCAACCTCACAAAAATCAGTGATGTCAGAGCTCATTTTATAATGTAACTGATCTCCATGTTTTATTTTAATACACATTAGGGACAGAAGCTGAAATTGGAATCGGTAAGGAATTTGAAGGAATTGTTCTTTTAAATGGCATCAAGGAAAGTATGTACAACATACAGTACTTAATAACATGAATATTTTAAAATTAATCATAGTTTTTCAAAGAGAAGCACCAGGTGATGATAAATAATTACTTTTAAGTTGAAATAAAAACAAATTATTTCCATTGAGATTTTTTAATTCACAGCTCATTGCTTCATACATGTAAACATCCAAACGGTAGACATTTTCTTTCAAATATTGCATGAGGAACTCTTTGATAGTTTTAACTGCCTTTATTTGGCTGTGTAAATAGTCTTTACTTATTCTGTTACATACACTAATTTATCTTGCTATGGTATATGTCATCAGAGACACATTGCATTAAATATGTCTTTTAAATCATAGATAGACCAAGGATGGCACTGCAAAATAAAACACATTGGTTTTGTTTGGAAGTAAAAATTTGCATTTGGCCAAACCATTGGCAATTTCTTGACAATATAAATCTTCGAATTCACGTTTACAACACCAATGTAGATTAAATGCAGATTGTGCTCCTTGAGTAAGAAAGCCACATAAATATGTAGAAAAATAAATTTCATAATATATTCAGAACCATGGACAGCTCTCATCGGAAAAGTAATGCAATTGCAAAGCCTTCAGTTGTCAGCCAGTTTTAATGAGAGCAATTCAAACCATCCAAGCAAGTCACTAATCCTTTAGAATGAGGAAAGGCAGCTATATTGGTAATTCATTACTTACCCTGTGTGAAAAGCTTATTAGAACATCTGTATGATTGGTCTGAGCCATTGTGACAGTGCATCCGTATTAGT